CGCCAGTGCCTGACTAAAAGTGCCTAAAGCCGCGCCTCTCTGACCTCTAGACACTCCCCCAGGACTAGGCAACCTGATTTATGGTTATACAACCTCGTGGTCCTTCCCGATTCCTTTCTTTTCACTTGTCATTTGTATTTTGTTGTTTTTTTGAGACAGGACCGCACTATGTAGCTCTGACTGTCCCGAAACTCACACTGTAAACCAGGCTGACCACGAACTCAAGAGATCTGCGTGCCTCTCAGTGTTGTGATTTAAGGCGTGTGCCACCACGCCCAGCATACTTCACTTTTAATCTAGTTTGTTTACTTTTTTTTTTTCAGTGGCACTTTGCTTAAATTCCTTCCATCTAACCGGCCGTGAGAAGCAGAGGAAGGCGGATCTCTGAGTTCAAGCTCCGCACTGCCTACAAGATAGCTTTAGGTCAGTTAGAGCCACGTAGTGAGACCCTGACTCAAAAATAAAAATTGCCTGCAGATGAGTTAATCTTGAAGGCATTTGGTGAAGGCCTTTCGGCCAACATCCCCATTTTACACCGAGGGAAACAGCAGAAACCTTAACTCAATCCTTCATGTCATGTATGCAACCTTGCACGTTGTCACTTTTTTTTCTTTTCTTTTTTTTTTTTTTTTTTCTTTTTTGGTTTTTTGAGACAAGGTTTCTCTGTGACTTTAGAGCCTGGAACTAGCTCTTGTAGACCTGGTTGGTCTCAAACTCACAAGAGATTGGCTTTGCCTCTGCCTCCCGAGTGCTGGGATTAAAGGCGTGTGCCATCAACACCCGGCTCGTAAGAGTTTTCATGTGTGATATTTTGTATTCTTTGAAACAAGACCATCAAGGCCTGGAAAAATTTGTTGTATTATCAAAAATGATCCTGAATTTCTGATCTTTCGGCCTTCACCTCCCAAGGGTGGCACCACACCTACCAACATATTAGATCGGGAGGGGATTTCCATTTTTAAGATGTGGTTTCGAGGCCTGGCGTTGGTGGTGCACGCCTTTATTCCCAGCACTTGGGAGGGAGGCGGAAGCAGGCAGATCTCTATGAGTTCGAGACCAGCATGTCTACAGCGCCAGTGCCAGTGCCAGTGCCAGGATAGGCTCCAAAGCTACACAGAGAGAAACCCTCTCTCAAAAATCAAAAACAAACCAAACAAACAAAAAGATTTGGTTTTGAGACTTTCTGCATGAGTCTAAAATTTGCTGAGCCAGGCTTGGTCAAGCAAGAGGATCAAAAGTTTGAAACCTGCCCTGGGCTACATATTGACTTGCTGACAAGCCTGGCTGGATCCTGGTTCCAAATAAAATTTTAAAAGAACAGAAGATGTAGTTCTGCTCAGTGGTATAATGTTGTCTAGTAAGCAAAAGCTCTGATTCAACTCCCAGCATTAGGAAGGGAAAAATGAAGTAATCCTTTTGAGCCAGGTGTGGTGGGTGGCACACACCTATGATCTCATCTGTCTGCAAAGATGAAGAAGATTAAAGAACCTATCTCAACAATATTTTGTCTGTTTTTCCCCAGATCTTTGTCCTTACACAAAATTAGTTTTTAATGTTTCCTGATCCAGAAGTTATGCTTTGCATAAAGTGGAGCTGAGTGTAAAAATGAATGCAACTGTGCATTATTCCAAGGGGAATATCAGAGTGCCCCAGGGGCTAGTGTGCACAAGGAAATCAGGCTATACCTCTAGTATCTGCCTGCACACACATGTACATACACAAACATGTTAGGTCCCCAATGCAGGCCCCAAAATGGCAGTGCAGATGGCAATATTTTAGGGTGATGACCTGGGTCCCACTGAGCTTGGTTTTGCTAGGAACAGAAACCTAAGGCATTTCTCACAAGCCCTTAACAGCTGGCTGAAGACCCTGACAGAGTCTGTGGGAGTCTCTTCTGTTTCACAGAGTTCTCATGTTAACCATTGGCTTTTCTGAGCTGCCTCACCCTAGTCATATAACCTTAAAAAACATAACAAGCTTTTTTTTTGGGGGGGGGGTTGAGACAGGGTTTCTCTGTGTAGCTTTGGAGCCTATCCTGGCACTCGCTCTGGAGACCAGGCTGGCCTTGAACTCAGAGATCCGCCTGCTTCTGCCTCCCGGGGGCTGGGATTAAAGGCGTGCACCACCAACGCCCGGCTTCCTAACAAGCTTTTGCAGTTGGATGCTGTCTTCTACTATTCTTAGAGGCAGCCAGGCATTCATTTGTTCCTCCTCTGTGTGTGTGTGTGTGTGTGTGTGTGTGTGTGTGTGTGTGTAAACTAGGAAGTTTTTAATATACTGTTCTTTCTCTCCATGGAGAGTTGTAGGATTCCATGGGTTCTTGCTGCACCTACTTACAAAACACATATTAAAATGAATCATATATATACTAACTCCAGACATGTTATCTAAGCACCAAGAATATGGAGGCAGAAGGATGGCAAGTTCAAGACCAGCAGGGACAAGAGTGAGAGCCTTTCTCAGGAAACAAAACACACACACACATACATGTCCTAGTTCGCACTTGTATAAATTACATTTTCCCCTCAAATAACTTTATAGACTGGAGGCTTGTGTGCCCAGCTTTGTCTTCAGCTACTAATTTCTTCTTTTGATTGCTTACATGGATTCCCTTTGGCAAGTGGATTTTGGCTTCTAATGTCTCATAAACAATTAGATGCTCTTTATTCACAAAATATTGATTTTGATTTTTTTGTTTTTGTTTTTTGCTTTTCGAGACAGGGGTTCTCTGTGGCTTTGGAGGCCGTCCTGGAACTAGCTCTTGTAGACCAAACTCACAGAGATCCGCCTGCCTCTGCCTCCCTAGTACTGGGACTAAAGGCGTGTGCCACCACTGCCCAGCTTTGACTTTTTTTTTATTTTTTGATGTAGGGTTTGTTGTTGTTGTTGTTTGGCTTCGAGATAAAGAATGTGCCATTTTGAGAAACACAGCCGAAAGGAGATTTTTTTTTTTTTTTTAGACAAGGTTTCCCAGTGTAACAGTCCTAGCTGTCCTGGAACTAGCTCTGCAGACCAGACTGACTCGAACTCAAAGAGTTCCGCCAGTCTCTGCCTCCATAGCGCTGGGTTTAAAGGCGTGAGCCACCACCGCCCAGCAGAAGGGATTTTTTTTTTTGATCTGCGCGGCCTAGGTGCATTTTAAACAGGAGCCGCTAGGTGGCGGTGTTGCGGAAGGGCACAAAGCAGCGTGCACGAAGCCTCTCTTAGACTCCCACAGCGGAAGAGGAAGCGGCACGTGTGGTGTTCTACGGTGGCCGAGGCATTGCTGCTGTTCCCTCAACCCTGAATCCCGAAGCACCCCGGCAAGGTGGGGCGACGGTGGTTTCTGTAGTCGGAGACCCGAGAAGGGCGCCCGGGAAGCCGGCACCATGGTGAAGGAGCAGTTCCGCGAGACGGATGTAGCTAAGAAAATGTAAGATGCATCCGAGGGAAGGAGGCTGGGGTCCCGGGTCCCAGAGGGTTCCAGGTGAGGGACAGTTGTTAAGAGAGCGAAGAAAGAAGTTCCAGGATGGGATTTCAGATCCTAGG